ACACACGTAATGGACTATTTACAACACATGCAGTGATATCAGTGAAACTTATAGAAGTATGTTGGTTAATTAAAAAAAATGTCCCTTTGGATTAGTTCTTGTTTCCCAGTAAAACGGGAAAGGTTACCAGGGTTATTTTTCAGCCAACAACCGGCCTGGGTATTGATCACGTTCAGTAAAATTTTCACTGATATTCAGCCATGCATGAATAGGATACAGGCCTTTCTTTGCGACTACCCAAAGCATAGTCAACACAATGTTCAGAATAGGCCTCTTGCTGTCATCACAATGGCAAGAGTGGGCCTCTGGACAATGAAGGAAATAAAAGTAACAACAGAAAAGGATATGAATGAAATGGAATTTTATTGAACTTGAATCTGAATTACAGATAAGATTCACATTTTCATTGTCCCCTCTTTTTGCCGCCTATACGCATCGAACAAGTCATTGGTAGCCTGTCATATCAAAATAACTGAACTGCTGCTATAAAGTATAACCCTATGTTTATAGATTCTAAGCAAAATACATCATAACAGATTTGCTCTCTTAATTATTCTGCTTACATCAGCAATTAAATAAATAACGTTTTGTCTTTCAGACGAGGGAGCTGGGGTTCGTATCTATGTTCTGGACACCGGTATTCGGTCAACACACAGTGACTTCGGAGGCCGGGCTACGGCGGCATTTGATGCATATGGTGGCAATGTGAGTTTTTAGCTGCCTACAGCAGCTCAACAAATCGTCGTGTCTCTCCGTTAGTTAGTTCATGGTTAGTTAGTAACAAACGTTCCAGTGACAGCCTTGCATGGGTATAAATCAACTCGTCCCTCAGGCCTTGGCAATGGGTATATGTCAACTCCTGCTTCAGGCCCATGCCCTCTTTTGTGTCACTTTAATGGGTCGCCAGTGAAGGAGGGCAGAGTTGCATTATCGAGGTTTATTTCATATTGGTGCTGGTACTGCATACGAATCGGGTGTTCCACCAACCATGGAGCTGTAAAAAGCTCCACGCACCAACTGACGGTCCAACATAATGGGAAAGCCTTTATTTTAAATGACAGTCACAACCAAGTAAGTAATTGTGCCTTATGTGAATAGACTTTTACATTTACATGTACAATACTTATGGGCTATAGCAGGTCCGACAGTTGGCCTGCAGCTTCCGAGAAACCAAAATAATACTGTGCTTCTGATTTTTCAACATATACAGACTTGATGGTGATATTTGTCTTTTGGGGGTTGGACCGATTAAAGCACTATAGCCTCAGGATTTGGTGCGTTTGTTTATGGTGTAAATCGAGGACACACACGTGCAACATCATAGATGAATTGAGGACAGGAACCAAATCGAGGACGACCTCGAAACGTGTACAAAACCAATGAGAGCTGTTGCAAAAAAGTTCGAGTATAAACAAAGAAAAGGGAAGAGGAACAATAGGAAATCCTCGATTTATACCATAAACAAACGTACGTGTGTGTGTGTGGTGGGGGGGGGGGGCACAATCTTAATACCTCCACCCTGAATATGTCCCAATGTCATTCTTCCATCTTTGATTTAGGGTCAAGATTGCCAGGGCCATGGAACCCACTGCGCTGGCATTGCGGCAGGCAGTTATTATGGAGTAGCCAAAAGAGCAACCATCATGGGAGTGAAGGTTTTAGGATCACCAGCGTGCACTGGTTATGGATCCTACGCTGCAATCGTCGCTGGTAGGCTGTTAAGGACATTTTTTTTTATATTTTCGCTGGGCCCAGAGGGCCACCGACTAGTCTGGTACCCTCTTTGTACCTATCTCACCGACAGACAAACAGACCGACTGACTGACTGACTGACTGCTACTTGTGACTCGAGCAGTGCTATTACAATACCCTGTAATGCCGATGAATGGGCGCAATCTTATTTATTAAAGGCTGTGGATGAGTTTCCACTGCAACAGGCAATTAAGAGCTGCAGTCTAAAGAAAAAAACAATCAACTTTCATTTGAACATGGTTTATCAGTTTAAACTGATTGTCCCTTCCCCTTACCCCTTTTTTTATTTTCAAAATTAGAGACATGCAGGGGCGGCGGAACGGGGGGAGCACTGGGTGCCACTCCCCCCCCCCCCCCCCATTTTCCTAGGCCAACAAAAGTGCCCTTCTCGCGGTTATAAATGTGCCCTCGAGATGAAAACAAAGCTGCCCCTCAAACGCACACGTATGAAAGCATATGATCGCGCTACAAATAATATTGTGCTCTCTTGTAATGCAAAACTGACCCTCAAAAACACAAATACCCCTTTCGCATTAACAAGATTGTGCACCTTCTCGAGATGGAAAACTACCCCTCGAAAGCACAAATACCCCTCTCGCAATAACAAAGTTGTGCCCCTCTCGATTTGGAAAATTGGAAATAAAAACCAATATACTGCTCTTCACGCGAATAAGATGGTCACTGAATTGGCCATCAAAAGCAACAGTGCCCCTCTCGCGATAAAAAAGGGTCTCTCTACATAACTAGGTAAAAGAAACACAAAGAGCAAGATGGACAACGTATTCATAATTTGTTCCTCGTCATATAGGTTTATAGCGAAATGAACGGGACCATATTCTTTTCCTCCACTTTCACACCAGCGGAAGGTATACCTTTTTTTGCAGCAAGTGCCCTTTTCGGTGTTGCCCCCCCCCCCCCCCCCCAGTTTGAACAGCGTTCCACCGCCCCTGAAGACTCATAAATATCAAATTAATGAAAAGATACCTTTTTGTACTCAGCATCACGTGGACCATCACGTGACCTCTCATATGACCATACTTGGTCACAAGAGGCGGTCGTACACCTTGATTTGATATGCACAGTCCATATTGCCTAACATGTCATCACTTTTTAAAGCAATGCCATGATTGTTCCGCAATATCGTATTCTTCCCCCTCTTTCTTTATCCAAATTCCTCCTGTAGGATTGGACTACGTCGCTAACTCTGGACAGAAACCGGGTGTCGTATCAATGTCACTGGGAGGCTCGAAATCAACTTATATGGAGACTGCGATCAAAAATGTTGTTTCTAAAGGTTACCCGGTGGTCGTAGCGGCCGGTAACGACAATTATGACGCCTGTTATACATCTCCAGCATGGCTACCTGAGGTATTGATGAGATGAACTTCTGCCTGTTAAAAGATATAATATAATTCCATAAAAATTCACGGATGAAACTTAGCACACAACCGAGCATTTTCGAGAAAATATGCCCAATATTTTGGGCTAAAAAACACACGTGTACCATAACGACATTTAAGAAGCACCTTAAAACGTTCCTGTTTCCAGATGTTTTCTGATTTGTTTGTCATCCTTTGTTGCCGATTGCAATGATCTAGATGGAATTGCGCGATACCAATCAATTATTATTACACCTGTTTATGGTACCTTAAGAATACATTTTGTCGTCATAAATTATACCTTGGAGAGACACCGGACATTAGGGAGACATTTCAATGTCTCCCTAATGTCACAGCTCCTATTTAGAGGAAATATTTTATCGTCAAAACTAGGCTCGATCGATTGCTCGTGCAAGGTCCAAAACATAATAAATATTCCAAAATGCGCGGGGGTTGTAAAATTGGGGTTGGGCGACAATAAATTTTAAACAAGAATTTTACCCCCGTCTATGAGAAAGTCTCCCAGGTGACCCTTTATCGGTGACAGTTATTATTATTAAATACTGCAAAACAGTTGGAAAGATTGTTAACAAATACAATTTAAACATTCACACAACTATTTTCGAGATACAAAATGTGGGTCCTGAAAATTGGACCCGTTTGAACGCTAATGTTCTTGATGTCAGTCAAACATATTTCTTTTCAAACCTTTTTTTTTTTCAAACGCGTGTGCGCTAGACATAAAGGATGGCCACGTGTATAATCTGATGAAGTAGCTTGGGACCTGATCATTATCACAGTAAATTATCACGTACAGTTTATGCGGTGCCACTTTATTTCTACAGTTTGGTTCAAGATTTGGTGCTTGAAATATGTGATCACTTATCATCCTATAAATTACAGAAATTAACCATCCCTGAACCAGCAACTTATATATTCCAATGCTGAAAGTTTACCCAGTCTTAATTTGTGCTTCTGTGGCATCACAGTATGAGTGATTCAACTTGAGTCGAGCAAGAACGAGACTCGACTTGACTTGACTTGACTCAAATTTGTTACATAATTACTCGAATTGAGATCGAGTCAGTACCTTGAAGAATGACTCAAGCGACTCAAATCACAAAATTTCGGTCTCCTTAAAATGCAAATATGTTAAAAAAAAATTGCAATACTTCTGCCGGTACAAAACTCTAAATGAATATTCGAATCCTTTTCCCCTACGACAGGCGATCACAGTGGGTTCCACGGACAAAAAGGACTACCGATCATCCTTTTCAAACTACGGATCATGTGTGGACATCTTTGCTCCCGGGACCAACATCGAAAGTGACTATTACACATCTGACTCTGCCACCTTAGTAATGTCTGGAACCTCCATGGCATGTCCAGCCGTTGCAGGTAGGCACCTCAACCACAGATCTGTCATTGTTTCTCAACTCTATTTGTTAGTTTTCTTACCAAATCAGTGTTTGCTCAAATTTTGTCCCCAAATTTTGCCCCAATTTTTTTAGCTTTTCTTCACTCTTTTCTTCACTCTTTTCTACCCTTTTTGTTCTGTAATTTCTTCACATTGTCTTCTCTTTACTGAGACCCATGCATGGGAGATCAGTGGATTCCACTGAATGCGCTGCCCAGTTAAAATAAGAAATAAATAAATAATAAATAAATACTTTGTAATAATGATTTGATATTGTTTTTGGTATCACAGGCATTTCGGCTCTCTTCTTGGCCCAGACTACCGATTTGTTACCGAGCCAAATTAAGAGCATGCTGACGACCTATGCGACCCCCAGCGTAATATACTATCCTGGAAGTGGCAGTCCCAATCTCCTTGCTTACGTTACGTAATAGTCATTCCAGTACCGCCAGGTTATTGACAAGCGAAGATAGACATATGAACTCCGGTTAAACATGTTAAAATTGTCTTAAAATTTGGATTGATTTCTACTGGACTTACAGTGCAAACTGAAAGGCTTGTTTTAAACGTCTGCAGAGATTAAATTAGCCACAGCTATTCGGGGGTAATTTCATGTAAGTTAAACTAGGAAACAGATTATTTAAAGTGACGATATCACGTTTATTTTGAAATAAATTTCAAATGAACCACACAGGGAAACTGACTGTGAATTATAACCCTTGTATAGCATTTGCAAATTTTGATCCCCGTTTGATTTTTCCCACTGGTCTGTATCATGACTTTGGGCGTGATCCCTGGCTGTGTACTAGTTTATGGCTTCTGACTAGCACCCCTTAACAAACATATAGACTAATTGGGGAACCGCCAACATAGGGCTGGATAGCTCGGTTGGTAAGTGCACAGGAACGGTTAAATCTGGAGGTCGCATGATCCAGTAATGTAGTAATGGCTATGGATCTGTGTTATCACGGTGCAATAAAAATAAATGGTACAATCCTCTGAAATCAAAGTGCAGTCCTTTGACTTTTTTAATTAGTTCCGGACAATTTTCACAATTGGTGTCGGGGCAGAGAAGTTGTGCATGGTGCACCTGTGCTGTGTACTAATGTTCTATTGCGAAGTCTCTGGTAATGACGGTCAAATACAAATGTAATGCAACAGACCTTTGCTGTCGTCCGAGCGGTTTATTATTGACATGTATTTGTAGTCATATCCCCTTGGAATCAGCACCGGTGTGTCATTGGCCAGCGTGGCGACAGTATGCAGATTCCAGTCTCCCTTCTTTAATAGTGCAGAGCAATTATCACTTACACTATGTGAATACACCAGCGAGAGAGAGACACGGAACGCGTCTGTATATAGTTTCAGTTCCAAACCAGTTCTCCGTTTATTTAACTCAACATACACGACTAGCACCAACTAGCACCATCTCACTTTCAATAAATTGTCCTAAACCCGCCCCTTTCATTGTGATTGGATTGTTTGATCCTTACCTTATCCCTGATTGGCTGCAAGTTTCGTGGAGCGTGGTCACTGCACGGTCGAGTCACAAGAGGGCGCACTCATTTTCCACCTGTAGTAAATGCATGGGTACGACTGCAGGTCGTCACAGTAATCATGGAACTTTTTCGGCCTGGCTCTTTTGTTTAGGGCCCTGACCCCCTCCCGTTTCCACCAATGCGTGTTTCGGTACAGTCTGCTGCCCCCATCCCATCCCTCCCCACCCCACAGTTACATTTTGGATTCGTTGCCCATAGCTTTTTTGATGTTGTTGTTTTTTTAATCCACAAAATAAGTTATTTGTTTTCCAAATAAAATTTGCTGCCATCTGAAAAACGTCATTTCAGCTCTAGCATGGCTGATTCTCATTGATGGGGTGGGCAAGGGCGGCCCCAGAACCATTTTTTCGTAGCGGGGGGGGGGGGCTGGAGTGGTTTTTTTTTCAAAAAGGGAAGGGGATTGAGTGTAATTCGTGCGCTGTTTCCACATTGTAATATTTAAACTAAAACTAGGTATGTTTAGCTACGCAACATTTGATTTGTGTCCAGGAAAGGGGGGGGGGGTTGGGGGCGGGGCACGGCCCCCGTTGGGCCCTCCCCCGGATCCGCCAATGTGAGTGGTTTTAATAATTTATTCACCAATCATCTCTGTAACTGTGTACCTGGTACTCATTCTTTTATTGAAAGAAATAGTCTGCATAAGTGAAGAAAACAAATTAGCACGAGTAGGAAAGCAGCTAACGTGACTTGTATGCCCTCTTCACTGTATATGTGCGTCCACTGTTTAAACTGCAGAATGTCAGAACAGTGACCAGACATCCAATAAAACGTCACAATCAGTGTTTACTGAAAGTCTCCGAGTTTTCTTGTATCTTTTTTGTTTTCAAAGTCTGGGAAAATGCCATGTTTGTATCTTAATTACTCAGTTGTATCATGTAAATGTTAATTTATTAACTTAATTTGTAAACACATTGTTCTGGGTTCTGGGTTTTATGTGCTGGACCCCTCTTATCATTTTTGTTATCCTTCAAATAGATTATATTTAATTATGCTTTGTGATGATTGTGAAAATAATAATTACCGGTAATGGGGTAATAGGGAGACTTTCCCATAGACTTGTGCACAAAATTTTCCGAATTAAATGTGCACCAGACAGAATATTCCCTTGTCCTTTTTCCACGAATTTCGATATTTTTACTAATTAAACCACGAGCAACAGATATAACCTAATTTCGACGGCAAAATTTTGCCTCTAAAGAGGGGCTGCGCCACTAGGGAGACACCTAGGTGTCTCCCTATTAAGCCCGTGTCTCCCTACTATCGAAATTTCTACGCTAACGTGTCTCCCTAATAGTACATTTGTAGGAATAAACCACAATCCATATAACATAATAGGTTATACCATCAGAACAAAAAAATATTTGCAATATTGTATAATTTTGGAAAAAAGATAACGGGTTATATCCCAGCAATGTGTGCAAAATTAATTTTGGTCAGACATGTCATGTCATATAATTAGACTGGCATGTGTCTAGCTTAGTAAATAAGATTTGAAACTTTGCATCGCGGTATTGCAAACTAGTGAGGGTTTCGGTATAAACACCATGTGTAGAAATCTCTTTTGGGAAGATGTATGGTACTGAAAAGAACAGGTTGGTTGTGATTGTGAAATTCGACGTGATCACCCCCCCCCCCCCTACTCCCAACCAATGAGTATCCTATATCCACGGCTACCCAGCCCATTTCCCCGGCAAATGGGGCTCCTGTATATACCCTCTGCCACCCTATACCCACTGCGGACCAAATTTTCTCTATGATTCCCTTTAGTGTTTCTCTTCGTTTTGCCACAAATAAACCTAACCCCAAAATGCCTCTAAACCTGTTTTCCAGAAATGGGGAAACACTGTGTGGACTCGCCCAAGTCCACACAACGTCGCCTCTACCTGGTTTATGTGGACCTCTTTTGTTCGGAGGTCCACACAGTGAATGTAATGCCTACCCAGCTCTGTGAGCACACCCCACTCCCCCACCAACAGCATCCTCACCACGGCACGCCGCGCCTCAGCGGTCAACAGTGGCGAACCCCACGCCGTAAGGGCTTCGCACTTCGCGCTTGCATCAGTAATGATCAAGGTATTCCCCCCCCCCCCACTTTTGAGAAGCGATTGACGCCCCTGCTTGACGCCCCCCCCCCCCCTTACTGAAAAATTCCTGGCTACGCCACTGGCGGTCAAGCTCCAACATCCTCACCGTCACGCCCAGCGTTCACAACCTTCAGCATCCACAACTCAATGCCTCAGTAAATCATCCAGCCCTATAAAGGCAGCCTCATCCACTTTGTCCGGCTTTCTCCTCGAGACGACCAGAGCATACTGACCGGAACGTCGGGTTTCACAACCAACCGGTTCTTTTCAGAACCACACATCTCCTCAAAAGAGATTCTTCCACGTGGTGTTACCGCAAACCCTCGCTGTGTTACTAGTCTTGTTTAATCTGAACAAGTTGTCTTGTACTCCTTGATGCTTGTATTCCTCGAAAAAAAAAACCAATATGAGATTTTTTTTAAAATTAATTTTAATGTTGATTTTAGTTCAGTTTGAAAAGGAGCACCTAATTTAGTGGTGTTTGATAAAAAGGTAATTAAACTATTGCCCCATACCAATCAAATACAATTACTTGCAGCTGTTAGAATCCGTTTTGTATCCAAACGATCGATTGAGGACAAAAGTTCACTACATAAACCCAACAATATTGAAACTTGCTGTTCAGTATTTGGCAGAAAACACTGGTAGCTTAAGGTCAATGTTGTCCACCTGAAAAAAAATGCATACATTGGTTCTTGTGTTGTTGGTTGGCGTAGCGGCAGCTGGATTTGCTCCACTGTACAAAGTTGAGGAGAACATCAAAGGCAGTTATATCATCAAATTCAAGTATACCCAAAAACCTTTCTGTTCTCAATTTCAAATTCATATTGAATATGCACTATAAGTAAAGTCTGTCACGAGTCAAATATAGCACAACGGGCCAGCGTTTATATCTAGTTTCCTCGGCATGAAACGACTGAGAATATTTCTGTTATTTAGCTATTGCCGGTACCTTACCCATTTATATTCCTGGGTGGAGGGAGGGGTAAAGTGGCTTGCCCAAGGACACAACATGACCAGCAGCTGGATTCGAACACCTAGCTGACCCTTTGATAATGAGTCACAAACCCTAACCATTTTTGACTATACACTTCCACATGATGGCAAAACGATTTTTCATTGCATTATCGTTTAGCTGTTTTTATCATTTTGTTCATCAAGGGATGATTTAGATGTGGACACCGTTGCGGATGGCATCCAGCGTCGTGTGCAGCAGCGGCGTTTGGGCCGCGCAGACGTCTCTCATCGCTACCATCGAGTCTTAAAGGGAATGGCCGCAGAACTATCGGAGGAAGCCCTGGAATACGTGAGAATAAGATCCGGTTTGTCTTTCTGCCTCTGCGTTAGTTTGTCTGTCTGGCTCTCTGATTGTTTGTATTGCTGTTCTTAGAAGACATAAGACATCAAGGTGAATGGATGAAATAATTGCAAATGAATGCTTTTCAGATTCTAGTGTTTAGAGAAAAATGTTAACAAACATTTTGTTGTTGATTTCCACTTTTGCGAACAGTCATGGGGTTCTTCGAAGGCCTGAAATGCTTGCATAAGACAAAGCGTAGTTCACTTTGAAGGCCTGCTGAACTTCAATGTACAATAACTTCTCAAATCATGAGGTCTTCTTTGGATTCTGAGAGTCTAGCTCTTTCCAAAAGTGTCTGTTTGATGGTTTTTGATTGAAATATTTCAAGAAATGCAAGAAAGTTGTTTTGAAAAACTAAAATGCGATTGTTCATGTACAAAAAATGACTCGAGTGCATTTTGGTGTTCATAAAGGAAAAATAGTCCGGTTCTTTCCATTTGTTGAGCTTATTGGGTCTTCGGTTGTGCAGCAGTCATGCATAATATTGTTGCACTTCCCAGATCAACCCACCAAACCAATATTTGGTGACATATCTTCCCCGTTTTATTTGTCTTGTGCTAGATTCGAAGCCTGGATGAGGTTGAGTACGTGTCCGAGGATGGTGTGGCTCACGCGATGGGACAGCCATGGGGACTGGACCGTATCGACCAGAGAGACCTCCCCCTTGATCAAAGCTACAAAACCTTCTCTGAATTCAGTGAGAAAACCAATCTTTATTGTGAAAATAATTTCCACCTGTCCTTCCAAATGGTGAATTGCGCTTTTTGTAGATTTTCTTAGTACCCTTTTCACCTCTTTTTGCCATCGGAGTGTAATGTGGAAGAGATAAAGAAAAGTACTACAGTCTATTCCACCAGGCCGGCGTTTATATCCGCTTTTCCTTGGCATGAAATGACTGAGAACGCTTATATTTCCACATTTCCTCCCCGGATGGGATGCCCGGATCCTAGGTTACTCCCCAGCTAATGTTGGTGTCCATTTATATACTCCTGGAAGGGGAGAGGCAAGTGGGGGTAAAGTGGCTTGCCCAAGGACACAACATAATGAACAGCAGCTGGATTGGAACCCCAGACTCTCTGATCATGAGTCACAAACTCTAACCACCAGGCCACACTCATAATGTTGGGGGGGGGGGAGCAGTTAAATTAGTTGAAGTGGAGTCATTGCAAGTGGATATATGTAAAATAAAGTCCTTCAATCTCACGTCAAATAACTAGCTTTTGATATGACCAGTCAAACAGGCATTTCTTTTGCTTTGGTCAGTTGTTACTTGTGTCCAAATGCAATTGCAATTTGACCCGTGTGGAATTGACTTGATTCCTTCTCTGTAATTATTTTGTTGGACCCAAATTGGCTTCATAATGATCTGTCACTTCTTTGGCCCTTCGTTTGAAAATTCCAAGAATGGGATCAGAAAAGTGAGCCAAAATCCAAATACACACATCTTTTAGCTTTGAACTTTGTTATTATTGTTTCATCAAAGAGCAAGGAGCGGGTGTTGAGATTTGGGTTTTGGACACCGGAATCCGACCGACCCACAAAGAATTTGGAGGCAGGGCGTCAATTGAACTTGACACGTATGGTGAAGATGTAAGTCACATATCCTGAATATGATTGTTTAGATTTCACAGTAGTTTTAAGAAAGCAAAAAAGGAAAACACTAAATAAGATATTGAATGTCCTATTTTTATAATTCAAAGTCCTTTATAATTTGTCGTGTGCCTGGCAGAAGGGCATTATGCATGTGCCGAAAACATTTTAATGAAATCTAAATATTCCGTCAGAAATGAACACAAATTTGCTCCAAAAGTTACTATTCATACGTGTGACAAATTTCAAATTCGTACGATTTATTATATCCTACGCGTGGCGGGTGTGCATGGGAGGACGCGTTGGGGAACATTGAATGGAGCCTTTCAATGCAATTTTCTTGAAAGCGATTTTCGCTGTTCTTAACCTCCCACCCCCACCAAAAAAAAAATGAACAGAGCCAGGTTTCCTAACATTCACTCATGTGAAGTATATTTCATTGATGGAGAATAACTGTTTAAAACAACAACAACAACAACAACAACTTGGAAACTGAAAGTTCGCTTCAAAACAAACAATAGATTTATTATTGTTTTTTTGTTCCTTCAGGGTACAGACTGCAATGGCCATGGAACTCACTGCGCCGGTATCGCGGCGGGCTCATTTTATGGAGTGGCCAAAAAGGCCAGCATCAAGTCTATCAAAGTCTTGGGTCCTTGCGATTCAAATGGTGGCTACAGTCGAATCATCAAAGGTAACAATGTTTATTGAAAGTTCAGAGTCAAACTCAAAATATCACGGAGAATGCATCTTTAAGTGGTTGAGGCAAAAAGTAGGGGGGGGAAACGTTATAGATTTTTGACTTGATTAAGTTTGGGTGCAAATGTCGACTCATTTGATGGAGTCCAAAGTTCCTTCTATTTTTTTTGTTTAATAAAAAAAACTGGATATGCAACGAGTGAATTTTGTTCTTTGTTTTCAAGGTTTTGACCACGTTCTCAAGAATGCCAAGAAGCCAGCAGTTGTCTCCATGTCTATCGGTGGCACCAAATCCTGGTCCATGGAGCAGGCCGTCAAGAAGGTCGTCTGGGACGGCATACCGGTTGTCGTAGCGGCTGGCAACAGTAACAAAAAGGCCTGCGACACATCACCAGCTTATCTGGGAGAGGTAACTGTTATAATTGAATAGCTTGTCGCACGACTAGATGAGAATTGGGATGTAATTGACTTGTTACTGGTTAATGGCGATCTGACTAGGATACAAAAACCCAATTCGTAGGCTTTCTTTTAGTACAAGAATCATTCAAATCACTCGTGTACTTTACAAGTTACGGAATTTTAAACACAACAACCGTTTTATTAAAGTTCTGTCCACGGATAACAAAAAAGCAGGCGAAGTGTTCTTTCAGCAAAACGAAAACAAATCACATAGAGATGTGTGTGAATTGTTTTCGTTTTGCTGAAAGAATGCACACTTTTTTTGTGATCCGTGGACAGAACTTTAAAACTGTGGTTGAAGTAAATGAGTGATTTAAACGATTCTTATACTACAAGAAAGCTTATGAATTGGGCTTTCATATCCTAGCTTTTCAAAGTGCTACATTCGGAACGTCACTAAAAGCAATAGTCCCGACAATTAGGCTTCGCTTCTTTTGACTCACCCTGTATGAAACCACAATCGATTTCGAGTGGGAAAAAAAACCGAGTCAAACTTGTTTCTGTTGATTCTTTGTAGGTGATAACCGTTGGAGCAACTAGGAGCAACGACCAGCGAGCAAGCTATTCTAACTATGGGGAGTGCGTGGACATCTTTGCCCCGGGCAGCCAGATCCCAAGTGCTTACTGGAAATCAGACACATCTGTCAAGACCATGGGAGGAACCTCCATGGCTTGTCCTCATGTTGCCGGTAAAAAGCTCCTCTCTCATCATGAGTGGTGCATTTCACACTAGGACCAAGCATCCTGTGAAATCGTAGCACCTAGTACAGGTTGTCCCACAAAAAAAACTAACAGTCGAAAACCAATTAATAAAGATATATTGCACGCGGGTTTGGAATATTTTCAAATGACATCTTAAAGTCAGATAGCCAATCTACCGTACAAACTTTATTTCATTCAATCGATGCATTGGAACAAACGCTATGCTTCATCGAACTCAACGGTTGAAAATCGTCTAGGGCCACTTTTATTGAAAGTGAGAAAGCGCAGTTAGAGAAACACACAAAGGATTTAATTCCTTTGTTCAAGAGAAAATGTGAGACTTATTCTTTACCGGCTTCGATCTGTAAACTTGATAAATAAAAAAGTTGCCCAAGTGGTTTTTCAAGTCCCGTATTGTGATTGCTGTATCTTTTGAACAAAACATCCTAATGAAACCAACTAAGCATTTGGAAGGCCAATTAGTATACTCAGCAATACATTAGACACGATTTTGAGTACTACCTCCACTTTTCTGAAAAAGCATATCCGATTCGACTGTTATGTTTTTATGGGGCAGTCTGTATCTACTCAGTTGAATTTCGACATTTTTTTTTAAACTGCTTCAGATTTATTGTGTTCTTGATCATTGAATCAGCAAACACACAATGTTTTTCGCAAAGAGTATTACCTTTAAATAATGACAAACTAACAATATTACTGCAATCAAGAAAAATAAACATAAAAGTTGTCACATACATTTCACTAAAGTCTTTATTGCTTTTTTCCCAGGACTTTCGGCTCTGTACTTGGCTCAAAATCCAGGCCTAAAGCCAGCTGGGGTGAAGTTTAAACTCAGGAAAGATGCAACGAAGGACAAAATATCTGATGTGAAGACAGGCAGCCCCAATCTTCTAACCCATGTACAACCCAACTAAATGTCTGTTCATCAGGAGTGGTTCCAGAACAAAAGGTTCTGGTAGCAGAAGTGGTTCTTTACACAGTTGTGCTCCATCATGGTTCTAGAACTGAATGGGGGGGGGGGGTAAACGTTTGTTTCAAGCAAATTTTGGTTTTAAAATAAAGTATAGTTTGAAGTTTTATTTTAAATAATCTCCAAATGAAAGTCATGTGACTTCATCAAGGAATAAATACATTGTAATACAAAGTGCTAATGAATTAAACATTTAAATCAAATGTCGGGAGCTTACAACTGTTGTATAAGGTTCTTCATCATCTTCAAATTAAAATACCTGCAGATATTTGGAGTTAATTTAGATGACAGCATCCATCAGATTTTCAGATTTCAGAAAATCAGAAAATTTTCAGAAATCAGATTTTTTTAAATTTTTAATCAAACTCAAAGCAATTATTAAAATTGTGTTCTTTTCTGTTATTCTTTGCAAATAATTTCACAGTTACAACTGTAAGTTGACTTGGACAAAGCTTATCTCACATGAAAAGAAATTACGGCAGTGACGATTTATCATTTTCTGGGAAAGTTTTTTTTCTCCAGAAAATCATGACCATGCAGAATAAACATACACCATTCTTTTGAGCCAAAAGACCTGAAGAGATTGCATAAATGAATTATTATTATATGAATTTGTGAACTGTAAACTATAGACTTGACCGATCTTGAACAAAATAGCAACCTCAATACGGCCATCCATACCCAATGATACTTCAGATTGAAAGATATCATGCAATTTTAAAACTGTTTCTCTGTAGCAGTGGCCGGCAAGGCGGGCTCTGCGTCGTGCCACTGTAGTTGAGATAGGTTGGATGTCGCCATAAATTTCTGCCTTTGTCTTATGTTCCTTCCATGATATATTTTGCGCTCTCATGAGGAGGCGAGTGTAGGGCAAGTTGTCTCTACGTTGACACTGTATGCAATGATGTGAGCCAGCACGTTGATGACATCACCACGGCCATGGCGGACAAGAGAGCCTGGAAGAGTTTGCTTTCATCCATCTCGACTGCGGCCGCCCAATGATGATGATGATGAAAACTGTTTCCCCTCATAATTCTTGGATCACGCACCTGAGAACAAAAAATACTAGATTTGAGTCCTCCTTCCCCCCATTCACCGAGTCTTACCCACTACAATTATAACAGTGTTGTAGTCGAGACAATCACAAATCCAGTCACAAGTCCAGTCACAAGTCTTTTCATATAAGTCCAGCCACAAGTAAAGAGATGAACAATGACAAAGGAATGATTTTAAAACTTTGTTTTAATAGCCAGTGGCTTGACTTGAGAATGAAGGACATGTGTGACGAACTTGTGATTGACTTGCAGGGACTTGACTCGAGTACAACACTCATTACAATACCAACCATGCATACACGCAAATCTTATTTAACCATGCATGTCTTCTTGAATCATTTTATAAATGTCGTTACAATATGAAATAAAATGGTATATTCAACCCTAGAAACAGCAAAAATTCTTTGGTTTATATATCAGGGGATATAAACCGTGCATCGGGCACACAGATTAGTCTCGTAAAAAAAAACATGCATTGGGAAAGATGTGTGTAACACAGTATTATCACAAGTGTGAGTGCACAATAAGGCCTGGCCCAACCTCGACCCCAGGGTGTCGAGCAGTACGCGCCCACCACTACCTGCTCTTTCACCCTGGTATTGGATCATTTGCATGTGCAAGATTTTTGAACACGTATGCAAATGAGGAACAGTCTGGTGCCTGGATATGCGTTACACATTAGCGTTTGTTTTTGTATGCGGTGTCTGGGGTAAAAACAGAGTCGATTCGTAGCAGCACCAGTACGGCGTGAGTTACGAAAACACAATTTTTGAAATCAAACTGTTACGATCTTATCGAGACAACATTCAGTATCATATTTCATATTTATATGAGCAAATTGGAAAGGAAATTAGTATTTTCGAGAAGGCGTGGACGAATGATCGCGAAAACACCTACTGCACGTTGTGAATAATAGCACCAAGTACACGATAAAAATCCATTACTAGCCAATTGCGGTATCCAATCAGGATACAGGAAGAAAGTTTCCTATCCAGGGTTTACTATTGGAAACGCGGTTGGAAATAAAGTAAGCACTGGGGACGAGGTTGGGCCTGGCCGTGTTGCAAGAAGTCTTGCGTGAAATCGATCAAAATGATCCCTGCCAGAGCTTACTGCGACGCCGAAAATGCGACGCCGATGGCACATATGGAACACTATACTTTGTGGTCAATTTTCGGGGACAGACAGACAAACAGACCGACCGACCGACCGACCACCAAGTGAGATATAGAAGCTCCTGTCAGAGCTTAAAAATAACTGAGACCTGATCTTTCAGTTTTAGTTTTAGGACTTAAGATTGCTCATAAATTATCCTTAAAGAGTAGTGCCCCATGCTCTTAAAGTTCTCCTAACGAATTGTCAACTCGTTCGACGTCTCGTTCAAAGTTGAATAACCTTTGCTCAGAAAATAACCGATTCCAAAAAAGAGCAGACGACGCGACAAAATGACGAACAGTAAATGATGAAGAGCGCCCCCAATAAATCAAAACAATTCATCCGAAGATCAGTCACAAAAACATGGCCGCCGCATTTGCCGTGTCAAAATTTGTACTTGGAATTATGGTGCAAAATCTGTGATAATTAGCTGTTCTTCCATAGTTCTCAGGATGAGTTCTGAGGATTTGGAAGGTTCTGTTGCTAGTGGAGGGGACTCTTCGACGTCCAGTGGTCTCGGTAAGTAAGAAAATCAATCAGTTTTGGGATGGGAATACCGAGTGACGTGAATACGGCGAGTGAGTGGCGAATGTGACACAACACAGCTAGGCAGCTCGACCCATCTTGCTTGCTCGAGATGGAGAAATGAACGATTGAAAACCGAATGTCGGACACTTCGCCCCATTTCCACGTCGCCCCATGTCACTTCGCCCCTAACCACTTCGCCCCATCCCCACTTCGCCCCATTCCCACATCGCCCCATCCCCACTTCGCCCCATTCCCACTCTGCCCCATTCCCACTTCGCCCCATCCCCACTTCGCCCCATCCCCACTTCGCCCCAGCCGTTACATGTAAAAAAAAATCTCATCTATATTTTTTGGCTTAAAAAAACAATTTCAACAGATTCACTAATTGCTTACCAACGGAAAGAATTAGCCCATCACCAAATGAACAATTCATAACCAACCTCTCAAGCTAGGCTCTCCCCTACCGAGAAAAAAGCTTGAAGTAAAAGATCCAACTTTGTTCCCAACCCGGCTATACCAACCCGTCTCCCACTTATCTGAGAACGACAATACCTTTGACATCCTAATTTCACTCTTGGAGGAACCAGTCTCATCTAAATGAAGTTGTAAGTCACTCACATATCAGACAAATTTTGACGGAACATTTTCCTCAAGGCAGTGAGTTCCTTTTAACTCACTGACCCATACCTACGGATTCTTTTGAATCCAGCGGCTGATGATTTTATTCACAAGCCAATAGGAGAGGCGTCTCTGAATGGGATAGAGCCATGATCATTTCTCTCATCTGTGTCTCGAGCACCTCATCAGAGAGTTTGTATTTTTCCTAAGTTTCTAGAATTGGGAGCATTTATTATCTGGGGTCTTTGGCAGTTTATTTGGTCTGCACCCCTAGCCTTCACCTTTTTCATACTACATGGGGCGAAGTGGGGATGGGGCGAAGTGGGGATGGGGCGAAGCGGGGATGGGGCGAAGTGGGGATGGGGCGAAGCGGAGATGGGGCGATGTGGGGATGGGGCGAAGTGGGGATGGGGCGAAGTGGTTAGGGGCGAAGTGACATGGGGCGACGTGGAAATGGGGCGAAGCGTCCGACACCCTTGAAAACCTATGCCATGGTGTAATGGTAGATCCATAACTGTGTCGGTCTTAATGTTGAACCAGGTTTTAATAATTACCTCTGACTCGAGGAAACTAGGCCTAAAACTAAAGTAAAGGAAAGAATGTTGCATCCTGATGCCTGACGCCACTTCAGCAGTTGTGTACAAAATCTTAGTCACACTTGTAACTGGGTCTGCATGGTCTTGGGCGCTAGAACTCCTTTTTTGACATTTGGGATGTTGGTCTGTTATACTAGCGTTATAAACGTTATTGAATGATTGCTGTATGATGTCTAGATCTGTACTATAGGGGTTGAATTTCACGGATAAATTTGAAACTCCCCCCAAAAATTGTGAGTATCATTGATGCCCCATTACTTCGTCTTTGACATGTGGACAAGCCAGTAGGTGCTTTCAAAGTAGCTTGAGTAACTCCAGCTTAACTAGCTCATCAGGAATTCACATGTAACGCTGGAGGCATAACTATGGCGTGAGAGTGTGGTCTTAAGAATAAGAGACCCTTCCAGAATGGCCTTCCCAAAATGGTCCATTTTCACCTCTATAATTAGGCCCGCCGAACGGCCCCCACGCACGGCCTAGACAACGCTGATTCTCTGGGTTGTTGGCTGTTTTCAAAGTGCTGTAATTTCCGTTTTAGGTGTCATAAATGGCTGAAACTTGTGTACAATAAACATTTTCATACCTTCTGTCTTGTGTGCAAATTTTATTTCTTAAAGACTTCAAATAACTTTGTGACGGCGAGTTGAATATGGGACCGCAGCGCGCGGCGCGATGCCAACCCGGAACTTGTCCCCATCACTTTCTCTGAGCACTACATTAAAATGCCATATTTACCCAGATAACCCCATCGTAGATTGATTAATCAGGTACCAGCTTAAAGAGGAAGACGTCATCTTTTCAGTGACGTATGCGTGTTAGTCATTTTTTTAAGGGGGGAGATTTTATAACCTACCAAAAATGTCTTTCCCCCAAACAAGCAGAAAGGTCACACGGCGGTCGTCCATCTTATTTAGTTAATTATGCAAATGAAATGCATCATGTGATGATTACCCAAAAAAAATTTGCGCAATATATGTGGGTACCACACCGCTTTCAAGCGCCGCTAGTGGGTTCAATTTTTGTCTGGTGCGGTGTCGTGAAAAGCAGTCGTGGTAAGCTTGCGTCAAATTTTGGCAAAGTGCATAGGTATGGCTGTTGCCTGTCATTCAGTATTCGTCAAATGTGCGCCCGCATGCATGCACTTCTGACTATTCAAAACTACAGTACATGTAGGGGTGTGCATCGGAACCGGGTACCCGACCGCTGATGTCAGGAAAAATTTCCAGATTATGGGATCGGGTACCCGTAACCAACTTTACAAATTACTTAATAACTTCTCAGACAATGAAAAAGAAAGGTTCTGAATACCATTTGTTGGGATTTTCAAAAATAAAAACTAGGCTATATTGAAAGTCAAAAGAGATTTTTCACGTTTCTGTGCATTTTAATTGGTCTCTTAAAGAAAATTAATTTGTCAATCGAAGTGGAAGTTCATGACGGGCAGCTGGCTGAGTTGAAGTAGTCTGGTTCTCTGACCAAAACATTTCCCTTTCTTTAACATACACACGTGAAGGGTACAGCGCATGGTATACAGTGTATATCACAGTGTTTCCCCTGGCTAATGAACTGAGCGAGGTGGTAACAAGATGATTGAAACGAAATTTATGCAGTCTGCAAACTGAAAAGAATGCAGCACTCACAGAAATGCGCGATGATTCCAAAAACACATCGAAACTGTGAGTTCTTGATACATGGAGGTAAAGGAAAACGCTCATATATTACACAAAATGATCTTTTTTCAATTGATATTTCCTTTATTGTAAATCTTCACAGCGAGGTGGTGATATTGGCAAAAATTGAGCGAGGTGGTCACTGAAAGTAGCGAGGTGGGCCGCCTCACGTTTGAATGGGCAGGGGAAACACTGATATATCATATCCAAAAAACATCGCATGCGTGATCAGAACAGCCAGCCAATCAAAGTGCTGCGCGCCTCGATTTAGCATATTATAATTAAGATGTGCGCACTGTGATTGGCTGGCTGTTCTGATCCCGCATGCGATGTTTTGTTCCGATATGATACGGCCATAACCAGGCCCGTTCCCCTTCAGGTTTGTACATTAACCCTTACTCTCTGAGGGTAGTTTACTGCATGTCAGTTGGTTATGCCAATGCCCTCCAGCTGCAGTATATTGGAGGATAAACTATCTTGACTGTGAAGGCTCCAATTGGCAGGAGTTGGAGGCCCTGGAGGGTGCCTGATACTGACCAGCTGGGGGCACTCACTTTGTTATCAGAGGACTCTCATTGTTCTCTGTGGCATGTATTGGAGTGCCTGTCCAGTTACCCTTGAAATGACATGGCAGATATTGGAGGGCCATGCAAAAAACATAGGAGATTTTCTTGAGGCACATATTGGCATGCGTTGGAGGGTCTAGTAGGGTAAGGGTTAAAGAAAGGGAAATATTTTGGTCAGAGAACCAGACTACTTCAACTCGGCTAGCTGCCTGTCATGAACTTCCACTTCGGTTGACAAATTAATTTTTGTAAGAGACGAATTTCACCAGAAGGAAGCACGCGAAAGTCCTAATTTGGGGGGAATATTGAGAGGTACCCCCGGTACGGGTAAGTAAACCCACCTTCCGAGTATGAGTTGGAAAGATTGAAATAAATTTTTTTTTTATTTTCAAATCCTCACTTTTGTGCATCAATGTTCGTATGGCCCAGCATGTAGAGTCTACTCAGTGCGAGCCATAGACTAGGGCTAGGATTGTCCCAACTATGGCGTGCATTAAAGCGACATACATACTGTACATGTACATGCAGCCCTAGGCCGATCTGTAGAGACAGTGACATTTTGTTCCCACGTTGGGATTTTCTTTAGAATTAACCAATTAGTTCCTCTACTGCCCCAGACTGCCCTGCCTGTTAGTCCATACTGCCCTGCCTGTTAGTCCATACTGTCCAAAACCGCCCTAGCCCTGTACGGTTATTATTTATTCACTAATAAGTACCAATAATTACCATTTGGTTAATTCAGTTTTGATCATATTAAAAAAAAATGGCCTATGAATTGAAAAGTCATCGTACATTGTGTATGCATACTGAAATTCAACTGGAAAATGGCGTAACATACATGTAATGGTTCTGCATTTTGATCTAAACTAATGGTTCAAACAATTTTAAATCATTTCAGTGAAATCTTATTGTTAGTTTCTGCTGTACCATTTTTTTTTTAAAAAGGTAATTGACTGCATAATGGTGTACATCTCTGTTGCACACGGCACAATAATGTAAAAGCCCCTTATGTTTACTGATGACCTGAACATATGGTATACACATGCATACATTTTTACGCCTCCATGCACATATTTAATGTTCATGATATCCTGTTGTGGTTGGAATATTGGTGTGGCTGTGAAACCCCATCCATCTTTGGTCTGACAACTTGACCTTTGATTAACACGCACGGCCGCGGCACTGTATGTAGTACACACACGAGATGATGCACTCATCTCGGAGCATGAGTGCAATATCTCTGTTGTTCTGTCGCTGTGTGTGTGCTGTCTACACTAATTAAGGTAGTGGAATGGGCTGTTGGAAAATATGTCAAAATTGTCCGTGAATGGAAAAAGGAATTTTATGAATGACAGCCTTGCAGGATTGGAGTAGTTTACTTTTTACCATCATTATAACTAACTTTGTGTATACTTTGGAGAACCTATCGTAATTGTACCGGTAGCTACTGTACTGCAGTGGTGTTTCACAGAATATGAAGGAAAATTGATCAACATAATCATTGGAAATTGTGAATTTTTGATTGGTTTTGACTTTTTGAC